CTAGAAAAAACTTTAGTCTTGATTACAATGCACTTTCCATTCCATTCGATCGTGTATTTGATGGGGATTAAGTGAAAACTATCCGTGATACTTTCATCCATCCATTGATTAGAGCAGCTATCGAGAATGGAAAAAGTTGCATTCTTTATTTCCTTTGTTTATTCGCCTTCTAAATTCACTACGAGTTCTTCCGATGAATATGCAATAAGTACGACAGTGTAAATATCGGAATCGTAGATTTTGATGCGATATTGAAGTCGCTTTTCGGTTGAATCGAAAATTGAAAATTTAGCAAGTTTGTAGTCTGATATGATACGATCTTTCTGCATAATATAAGTGCGAAGAGCACGGTTTGATTGAATGGAAGCAATGATGATAGTCAACAACAACAATGTGTAAGTGACACAAGTGGCCGACATCATGTGGGTGTCGGTGTGGGTTGAATTAAGAATATCACACCAACACCTCAGACCTCCCCACACCCACACCCGCGCCCATTCCTACCTCATTCGATAGAGTATATTGAGGTAAGAAAAAGGCTAAAAGGTTTCAGACCCACGCCCTACTATCGAAGAACTATGGCCGTTTTACTGAAATATTTATTGAGCAACCGGCATTTTCGAAAAAACCAGAATGAAGAGTTTTGATCTGAAATTTTGTCTATAGATAGGCTTAATAGCCATTAGATTGTCCTGAAAGTTTCAACGAAAACGAACATGTCTCTCACCAGATATTCAACTTCCAAATAAACTGGATTATTATGTTCTCCTATGGCAAATTGCTGTTTTTTTTGGAAATTGATTATCTCGAGAAAGGGATGTTCGTTTTCGTTGTAATTTTCAGGACAATCTAATGGCTATTAAATCAATCTCTAGGCAAAATTTTGGATCAAAACTCTTCATTCTGGTTTTTCCGAAAATACTCGGTTTTTAAACAGCAATTTCGGTAAAACGACTATAAGTTCGAATCTTTTGAGTCCTTTTCTTATCTCAATATACTCTATTGAATGAGGTATGAATCAATCAAAATCGAGCTCGGTACCTCGCGTACTTCCTTCATTTGTATTTCTTGAAAATCTTTTGGTATCGAATAGATAATTAGTTTTATTTGAATAAACAAGTATTGATTTCGATAAATACTCAAAATACATTAAAAAAAAAGTTGTACACATTCTCAATGAACAATTACTTCCTTCATCATTGCTCTTCTTTGGTGGAATAATAACACAACACAAGTTCAAAGAAAATAAATCATAAAATTACACTGTTATGATACTGAACTACAGTGTAACTGAAGGCAACGCCCCTCATCGAAAGATATTTTATGTCAGACATTGTTGTATTTTCATTTATATTTATTCCAGTCACTCCATCAATTGATTTAACAACATAAATTTGATTTGTATTACTACTATCTTGCATACCAATACCTAAAAAGTTGCCATGATGTATGGGCAATGTACGCGAAGAAATTTTGAAAGTTTGCCATAGTGTAGTATTTTTTTGAGGATTAATAGCATAGCGATATAAAATTTTATCAACAATCAACGATTCCGACAGGACAAATATGTAGAGTGATGCAGTACCTTCCCAATTAGTTAAAAGCCGAAAACTGACGCTATTAACATAACCGTTAGTCCGACAGACCTGCTTGAGATTATAATGAAAACGATTGCCAAGTTGACGACCATTGATATCATATTCTAAGGGTTCTTTAATAGAATAATTTGTGTCTTGAATACAAAAAAACAAAATTAAAATTACATTTAGACTTTTTTAAAGAGAAAAATTAATAACTTACAACTTTCTGACTGATTTGCAACCATCGTCTCTAGAAAAGATTGTACAGAACTTGTGATAGGTTGCTTTGAAGTTGTGACATCTGATAAATTATTCGACGTCATAACAGTACTATTATCTATATAAATGAAATTAAATAAAACTCTCATTGCCAATCAATCATAGTTTATTTTTTTCTTACTTATTGTTTCATATGTTTGATTTTTTATTCGATATCGATTCTGACTAGAGGCTTTAAGAAAATAATGTCATTATTTGTTAAGATGGTAATTTATTTTTTTTTAAAAATAAACTTACAACGTTTTGATAAGATTACTGTCAAATTAATATATAATGCAACACAAATCATAGCCAATATCACTCCTGAAATGATCAATTGTCGATCTCGATCACCACTATATGATGTTATAGAAGTTACATTATGGAATATTCAATTTGATAAGTATACCTGACTCTAACTAGATATTGTAATCGATGATTCATATTACAAATTCAAATAAACATTAAAAAACATAAAATGAGAATCACGAGTGATCGAAAGTTCTAAAAAGATTATATGTTGCAGGACAGATTGACAATCAGTTCATATTAAGATTTGTGAGTGGAGCGATTTGAATTTGAAACCCTCGTAATCGGGCCAAAATATTTTATCTGAAATAAATATCAATCTCTCCTCCGATATACATATATATATATATATATCGAGTTCCAGATTCGTCGCCCCATCGAGGGTATCAATTACCAGTCGTATTCTGGGAACAAAAACTTATAAGTGGTTCTGCGTTCCTTTGAATACAATCTTACATATGAGTTTTCGTTATGAAGAATTCAGAACCACATATGATTCCTTTTCTCGGAATCTTTGAACATATAGTGCCTTGCCACAAAATGGAAATATAGATATGTCTGAACACTTCAGTGTATTGGAAAACGCACAAAAACGATTTGTTAAGTGTGTTTGTGCTCCTTAGAACAAAATACTCAAAAAACTAAGATCTTAACAACTTCTAAGATCGTTAGACATCTATTTTTCGACTACTCAAATACATCTAGAAATGCATCAGAATTATGAATCATTATGAAAGCGAATTTATTAAAGAAAAAACGCTTTCGATTTCCCGATCTATTTATGACTACTCTAACTGATTTTCAGAATGCAATTTTCGAGCAGTCTCTCACTCTTATTTAAGGATATTACGGTGGATATTTTGTAATGTAACGTTTATTACCTTCTTAGTGCAAATTTATCACAATAATTGCTATAGGCAGCTTATTGGTAAAATAAGTTCTTTGAAAAGCATCTTGAATTTTATAACATATCTTTTACTAATTATAACTGTGAAAAGAATTTTCCTTCTTATTGAAATCAAAAGGATGAATTTTCAAAAGAGAATCAAAAAAGTATCATGAAATAGTTACCTTACATGAATTGAATGAAAGTCTTTAATGGAGAAATAATAATTTATATCTACAGAGTTCAAATGATTACCAAAACTTGATCTTAAATAATCATACTGAAATTCTCTCATTGGTCTTTGTTTTGCTGCGCTGTTGAACGCTCGGTAAAAGTTCAACGAGATTCAGTTATATAAACTCATCAAAAACTTAAATCACTAACTAAAATTAATCGTTAACTGGCATGTTACAAAATGATGAAATTATAATTAACTAAAATCGTTGATTGATATCTAAATGACTAGTGAAGTCGACTTGTATAATATTTATCTATACAACAGATTGTGTAGAACAAATATTTTATTTAAAAAAATGCATTTTTCTTATATTTTCAAGGAAAATGGTGAATATGTTTATATCAGATAAGGTTTGAAGTTGTTTTATCTTTAATAAATAATTCCTAGACAGTTCGTCATACTTTAATCAATTTGATGCACATGAGCAAAATTATTATTAGAAACTCCATTGATGTGATTGGCATGGAACATTCATCGGCAATATAAAACGGAGATTAAAATATCTTTTCTCTTATTGTGTGTCTACTCAATAAGCTAAAAGTATATTGGAAGATAAACGAAATGAAATAGATAATATATTCAGTTCTTTTCTTGTTTATATTGCTCAAAAAAGATTTTGAAACTAATTAGTAACTTATGTCCTTTATTAAAAATACAATGACAGATTGTGTAGAGATTTTCCAAATATTTTTCTTTATATCTTTGTAAAAGAACAGTGTTTTACATACTGATGATGATAGTAAATACACACTTGCATTTTGTACAAGAGAATGAATAATATATTCGAATCTAATACTGCTGAAATTTTATCCGTAACGGTATATCATCTATAGTTTCTCCATGTAGTGTAAATCAAAACACTATTGGTTCATTTGTTCTCTCTTCCAATAATTATTTCAACAAAAGAAAAAGAACAATGAAAGCAAACTATACTTAGAAAATTGCATACATAGATTTTAGTAGTGGATGCTAATATTATTAATTGATTGTATTTATGTTTATATGTACAATTCGATTGGTAGACATTTTTCTAGGTTTTAACTTTGCATGTTATTGTTAAATTGGTCTTTATATAGAATGGTACCATCCATGTTAATATGACATGTGAAGTTTAGTTGCAATTGGAGTTTCATACAACGTCTCTGTATGTTTATGTTTTCATTTGTTCTTAGTCTTTTTATTTGTTACATATATGTTAGAGAGTACTGATCAAAAATAATATATTCATATAGCACTTTTTGTTCTATAATTGGTGAGCTCAATGAACCTTGTTCATCACTTGATGATTTATATACTCTTTAAATCGATATCATCTCAGCTCTTTTCATAGATATTCAAATAATTAAAAATAATTCTATAAATTGATTTTATAGTTGAACACCTGATGAATTCACATTAATGCATCTAGTATTATAGTCTGTTATTTCTTGAATTACATTCTATGATCCGATCTGGCCATTGTGTTCAATTAAGCTTTCGTCCAGATCTTTGTAAAAAAAATAACTTTATATAATATATTATAAATCGTTTGAAATCCAACCGATGCAAACTTCATAGAATTTTATATTGTAAACTTTTTTTGACTATTTATCGAGATTTAGTTACTTTAATTAAGCGCTTAGTATTTCTTCAGAATCTTTTGACATCGAATATAATAATTAATTTTATTTGAATAAATAAATATCAATTTCAAAAAATATTTTGTATACATAAAACCTTGTACATATTTTTAACGAACAACTATTGGTTTTATCGCTGATATTTCTTCTAAATAATAAAACAATGGAAGTTCAGAGAAAATAAATCATGAAATTATACACTTACTGTAGTGAACTGCAGTATAAGTGAATGCGGGAGCGAAACCCGCACCAAGTTTTGAGATAAACTTTCTTGTAGTTTCATTTATATTTGCTCCCATCATTCCGATAGGTGGATGAATAGTATAAATTTGACTCATATTACTACTATCTTGCATACCAATAGCGAAAAAATCTGTAACACTTATGGGTAATGTACGCGAAGGAATTTTGATGGTTTGCCATTGTGTCGTATTTTTTTGAGGCTTGATAGCATAGCGATATGAAATGTGATAATTAAACGGAGATCCCGATATGACAAATAAGTAAAGCAATGCAGTATCTTCCCAATTAGTAAAAAGACGAAAACTGACACTACTAACATACCCAGTATAATTACACATTAGAGCGCCATTGAAAAAAAGAGTATTGCCAAGTGGGTGACCATCAGTTTCATATTCTATGGGCTCGCGAAGAGAATAATTTGTGTCTTAAAAATAAAATGTTTCAATAAAATTTTGCGATATTTTTAATAGGAAAAATACATAACTTACATATTTCTATCAAACTAACGCCTATGGTAGATAAAATAGATTGTTCAGAGCTATTAACAATATCCATTGTAGTTATAACATCTGGTAAATTTGTTGATGTCATATATTCGATGTCATCTATAAAGATTATATAAAATCTCAGTTTCATTTTCAATGAACTATATAGTTTATTACTTGTGACTTTCGTTGTCACTAGATTTGAAATTTGACGAGGCGCTGTAAAAACCAAAGAATTATCATGACTTCTATGTTTATTCTAATTTATAATGTTTAAAGATAAACTTACGATTAAAATATTTAAATAATATTATTGCCAAAGCTATGTATAATCCAAGACAAATAATAGCCAATACTAGTCCTAAAAGCTTTCTTTTTCGTGCTCGACCAGCTCTGTAAGACATTATTGAAATTATTTTTGGAATAAAATTTATATAAATAATTTCTATACCTGAGTACAATTGAATCTTGCATTTGATTATCCATCTTATGGAAGAGCTAGATTGAGTTTAACTGAAATCTTTGATAAACATGCAACTGACGAATGAATATGAGATCTATGGTATTTGCTACTCGACAGATTGAATCGAATAAATATTTAAAAACCATTCTGCTCTAATTTTGAAAAGGAAATAACACAAAATGCATTTTCATATATAATCTAAGATTGAGAGATGTTCTTATCTTTAACAAATAATTCATCGACAATGTTTTTACTTTAATCGATGTGATGCACATGAGGAAAAAAATTAACAAAACAAGTTAGATTGATTTGATATAAAGTGTTCTTCATCAATTCTAAACGGATATCGATCTCGATCAAAAAATGGTAAGAACTTGAAGGCAACTGCTACTCGGTAATCGGTTCCTCTGGCTAGTTCTGTCCGATTGCGATTGGAGAAGTAACGACTTTTCAACGTGTTTCTATCAGAAATACAAGAATCAAAGCGTTGGAATAATTAATCTATGAAAAATCTCTCGCGCTAACGTTTTTGCACTTAAATAATCAGGCAGTGTAAACCAATCGAAAATACACAGGCCTTTCTCATTTAAAGAACAAAACGGGTTCCATCTGCAGATCTCAATTCTTACTTTTCAGCAATCGACTATATTACAGTAAGTGACAGTATATGCAATATGCTTAGTAAAATAATGATTAAAGAAGTGAAGAGAGTTCATGTTTTCAACACGTTTTGTATTTGTATTCTGATGATAGTACTCTTCAGATCTATAGAACTAAATCTATAATTGAAAATAAAAGTTATAATTATTATTACATGTTAAACTGAAAAGGAACATGCAAAGAACAACAGAATAATCAATATGAATTTTTAAAGTATAAAAAGAATTGCACTATGTTGATTAATGCATTTATTTCTCGAAGATGACAATATTTTTCATCATTTGAAAAGGAAAACAGAGAAAACAAGGAATAACATCATTTATTTCTTTGTTAAACATATTGACAGCCGATTAATATTGACTTGATGGTTGTTATCATGTCCTTGTCTATTAGCTTTTACTTGTTGCACAAGCCATTTTTCTTATTCATCAATAAAAACTAATACTTTTGTACTGGCTAAACATTCATTAATACTTTAATTATGGTATAAGAATATAAACATAATGAATGGTCGATATTATCATAATCAAGTAGCTAATGAAATTGTCTATATTGACGAAATGTGTGATCATAGCATCGTTTAAATTAGTTTTGAATATGAATTCAGGGATGTCCTGAAGTG